GCTTCACTCAGCATTTAAGACTAAGCTCATACTTTCTCCATAAAGACTTCTCTACATCTCAGTCTTCTCTGAATTCCTTTAGCTCTATCTACACGACTTAGTTTAAATGCAACACGTCAGGGATATTTCAGATCGGTTCTAAAATAATCCAGCAGATATTTGATTCTAGCAGTTTGAATGAAACAAGCTTGGTCATATATTGATGATCACTGAAGCAAGTAATGGGTACATGGAGGTTGATTATGCCACTCTACTTTTGTGTATGTTTGGAAGTTTCTAGAATAAAAAGTTTCACACAGCGTCTCACACTATTACCTGTTCTAGGTTAATATCTTCTCAATGAGATCAGATGCTCCTTTGAGGTCACAGATTGTCATTCATGCCAATGAATGTGGAGAATGGCTACATAGAAAACTAGACCACTACCAGTGTTTGTTGAATTAAATTCTATCTGAAGTTTAAAATTTTCATTGAGAAGAAACTGAATTTAGGTATTCTTATATATAAAGAGCTGAGATGCTGTTCTAGCTTCAGTTTCCTGGCCTTTCTTCTACAGTTAAAACCCCTTTTGATTTCTGTTCTAGCTTCTTTCTTGGGCTTCCAATTGATCTCTAATGAATGAGCACAATGCACTTGTTCCAGTATTCTGAAATATTTCTAGGTAATCCCTAATCATAAAACTAGAAGCCACAGTCCATTCAGATTTCTATTTTGGTCCCTCCTTCCTTTCTTTTTCCATAGACCCATTCTGTTTTTCCCTTCTCTGTCCCAGTATTCTGTGGGCTCCAAAGGTAGAAAGGAAAGGAGCACACTTCTCTTTGCTTCTGCATTCACACAACAAACTTCCATGTCTCATGTTCCTGTCACACTAAAAATACAGAGAAACTAGGACTTCAACAGTGTGATAAGCATATGTTTCTATGCCTACTACTCTTTTGAATTTCAAATGTAGCCAGTAACTCCAGACAGAAGAAGAGTCATGTCACAAATTGTTTGCATGGGGCACCTGGGTGGCTCAGTCCAATTCTTGATTTTGGCTCAGATCATGATCTCAGGGTGGTGAGACTGAGCCCTGTGTCAGGCTCTATGCTGGGCGTGGAGCCTACTTGAGTTTCTCTCTCTTTCTCTCCCTCTGCCCCTCCAGAGCCCCCCTCTCTCTTTCCAAAAAGACAAAAAATGCAGCCAGCACTCAAGAAGAAAACCCCTTTGGCCAAATCTAGTGTCTGATTCCTTCAGGTAGAAAATCAGGCTAAAAATACAACAGCCATTGATGCTAGCTGATTTCAGAAGTGACCAGAAAAAGAATGCATTGACCTTGGTGATTCATTTTCTCTTTTTTCCCTGCAAGACCAGGAAAAATATTTTGGTGGATGAATAGTTTCAAAACTTAGTAAACCTGGAAACAAAGGAGTTTTTTTAATTACTTATTCATGTGGAGAGCACCCAGAGGGGAGAGACTAAAGTAGACACAAAACAGAAGTCTCTGAGTCACTTATTAATGCTTGAATCTGAAAACCATGACTCTGATTATAACATGTTATAAAGCCCACATTAGGACAAGGCAGTCACATGAGCTTTCTCTCTCTCTCTGAACTGATTCCTTTGTCTTTAGTTTATTCTTGCTTTTCTGCTCTGCCAAGTATCAAAGCCTTTGTTTCAACAAGTCTTGTAATCTTTGAGAGGTATTTCCCATGACTGCTCTCATCACAAACTCTTCTTCATAAACAGAATTTTTGTTAAGTCATCTTCTGTACTGTGATAAGCAGAATAATGGCCCTTAAAGATGTCTACATCCTCATCCCTGGAATTTGTGAATAGGCTATATGGCAAGGGGAAATTAAGATTGCAGGGGGAATTAAGGTTGCTAATCAACTGACTTTAAGACAAGGCAATTCATCTGGATCATCCAGGTGAGTTCATTGTAATCATAAGATTCCTTATAAGTGAGAGAGGAAGGAAGGAGAATCAGTGTCAGAATGATTCCATGGGAGAAAGAATGTACTGGCTGTTGGCTGGCTTTAAAGATGGAAGTGAGTTACAAACCAGGAAATACGGGGAGGCCTCTAGAAGCCAGAAAATGCAGGAAAAATGCAGATTCTTCACTACTGACACTTGTATTTGGGCCCAGTGAGAGGTATTTCAGAATTTTGACTTCTGGAAAATAGATTTATGTTGTTTCAAGCTTCCAAGTTCCTGCGATTTGTTATAGTAGCAATATAACCGTTGTTTATAAGAGTTGGAGAGAAAAGAAACTTCATTTTTATTATCTTGCTTAAAAACACCACTTTGAGCTGAGAAATTTCTAAAATTCAAAGTGTTAACTCCCTACTGCCTGCCACTGCCCACATCCCCCTTTGGGGGCTGCTATAATCATTACTCCCTAAAAGGGCTGCTTCTCAGGGTGAGACTGTGGCCACCACAAGGGCTGTCAGGAAACAGGACGTGTAGAGACAATTTAGCATATTCTCAAAAGTTGACTATTTTCTCAGCATTGTTTTTAAACAGAATAATCATGTTGATCATACCAAGTAATTGAGATGGCTCCCTTCATTCAATAAACTAAATTCACAGTATGATTTTCTTTTTTTTATTAAGATTTTAATTATTGATTCATGAGAGACAGAGAGAGAGAGAGAGAGAGAGAGAGAGAGAGGCAGAGACATACGCAGAGAAGCAGGCTCCCTGCAGGGAGCCCGATGTGGTTGGGACTTGATCCTGGACCCTGGGATTCCTCCTTGAGCCAAGGGTAGATGCTCAACCGCGGAGGCACCCAGGCATCCCTGATTTTATTTAAAACAAAACAAAACAAAAAACCTTGAGAAAATTTCATATCCAAAATAACCTTGTATCTGAATCCTACAAAGTAAACTACATGCTGTCAACAGATGATTATCAAGGTGCAGATTATCCATCCAATTTGTAAGGCTTTGGAATGAACAACTTCGATTTCTTCTTCACTTCCATCCAGCCCCCTCCCTTTTGCCTATTGTCTTAAGTCCTAGCCATCTGCCCTTGAAGGAGCAGAAAGAAGATATAAAAGAAAACTTGATCATACTGTGTCTCTCTCCCTTTCATTAAGATTTTGTTGCAGAAGAGTCTGACGCTTGCAGCTTACTTAGGGACAGAGGCAGCTAATGTAGCCAAATATAAAAGCTAGAATTGAGAGATGCCTTAGTGGCTCAGTTGGTTGGGCATCTGCCTTTGGCTAGGTCATGATCCTAGGGTTCTGGGATTGAGCCTTGAGTTGGGCTCCCTGCTCAGTGGAGAGTCTGCTTGTCCCTTTCCCTCTACCCCTTCCTCTCTCCCTCCCATGCTTATGCACATGTATGCTCTATTTCTCTTTCTCTCTCTCTCATAAATAAATAAAAAGCTGGAATTGGGACACCTGGGTGGCTCAGCAGTTAAGCGCCTGCCTTCAGCTCAGGGTTGATCCTTGGAGTCCTGGGGTTGAGTCCCACATCATGGAGCCTGCTTCTCTCTCTGCCTGTGTCTTTGCCTCTCTCTGTGTCTCTCATGAATAAATAAATAAAATATTTTTAAAATAAAGAAATAAAAAGCTAGAATTGTTAGCAACAAAGGGCAATAACATTCAAATATCAATAGAAAGTTTCCTCTAAACTGAAAAGCCTTTTTTTTTTTTGAAAAGCCTTTTTTATGATAAGTTATACATGTTGGTTATAAAAAGCAAACAGAACTACATAGATTATTCACATTACATAAATACTACCACTGTTCATTTATTCATCTGTATTTGAAAATAGTTTTGTTTCAGCCATGAATATGGTCCTTGTGTTGTTTTTTCTCTACATATGTGCTTCATGGTCTGTAAAAGGAGCTTTAAAGAGCTGCATGTGGCCTTAGGGTAGGGAGCTGGCTACACCTGGTTCGTGGACTTCAGTTTCTCAGACTGTTTTCCTATGCCTTGTTAACACAACCGAAACAAATTAATACCCCAAATTTTACCCTCACCCCAACTAGGACTTTTCAATGTACTGAAGATGGTCATGTGGATGTGACTTAGAGAAAGATCACATGTTGTCAAGTGTTCATGTTGCCACATTTTCTGCACATTCTATTACCAAACATGATTTGTTCCAGGCAAGCTTGTTTTTACATTTAATGCCTGCTTTCTGTAACATAAAATAAATATGCAGTATGTTTTATGCCATTGGCCTTGGGAGGTACAATGAGTACTTGGAGAGCAGCTACCAGAAATTCTGCAGGTTGTTCCAAAAGTTCTATGGATCTGTACAGATGTCCTAAATGGGCTTTTTAAAGTACATTTCTCAGCAACTGGAGGCCTGTGCAAGCATTTCAAGCACCTTCTGGCACAACGTAGGCTATTATCCTTATATGGAATCTCCAATTTTTTTTTAAAGCTTTTTATTTATTCATGAGAGACACAGAGCGAGTCAGAGAAATAGGCAGAGGGAGAAGCAGGCTTCTCCAATACAGAGAAGTCCAATACAGAACTTAATCCTGGGACTCCAGGATCACACCCTGACCCAAAGACAACCACTGAGCTCAACCGCTGAGCCACCCATGCATCCCTCCAATTTCAAGTGATTGGAGAGCTTACCTCCCCCAGCTGTGTCCCCTCCTGGGGGAAGGGAACCTACAAACATTTTAGCACTGGGAAGAGCTGGTCATTTGAATTATAGCAGAGGAAGCCCCACTATGATGTCATATCATGAGCCAGGTGAATGAATTTGTAAAGGAGCCCCAGCAAGTTGATAATCAATGAGGTTGGAGATTGAAATCTTGTTTGGTGAAGGATATTAAAATGGGGCCATAGGAAAGGAAGTCCCTTTAACCAGAAATGTGGAATCATAACATTGAAACGGTGCGCCTGTAAAAAGAGAAAAATAGATGCTAAGAGTGAGTCAGAAGCACATGAGTTGTAAGAGCTTGAACTCCAGAGACCAGATCAGGCAAGACTGCTTAATACCATCACATGATCTGCCCCGAGGCACCCCTGTATTTAATTAAAATAAGGAGTGGGGCACAGCAGAGGCCAGAGGAGCACTGTTGTTCTTAGTGGATGGAGCCAGAGGAGTTAAAATTAAGCCTTGATTGCCTGGGTCTGTGAGAATTCAGCATGGAATGTCTCTACTGTTTCCTGGGATGTCTGCTTCTGGCTGCGAGGTTGCCCCTGGATGTCGCCATAAGTGAGTAAAGGAGTTTCTCTTTTAACCCATTCTTTGTCCACTGAAGTGATGGGTTGTTTGAAGTATCCTTGTCTAAGCCAGAAACTTAACTTCATGAAGATCCTCAGGAAGCTTTCTTGCTCATTTCTTCTGGAAACTTTTGGGAATGCTGAAACTATAGCAAAATGCGCCCCCAACCCCTGCTCCATTCTTGGCTTCAGGCTCTGGGAAAGTAATAACCATGCAGCAGCCCCTCTCTTAGGGAGCTTTTTTTTCCCATTGCAATTGCTACTTTCTCTCCTGCCAGACATTGGAAGGGTGGAGATGTGAGGGGAACAGTCTCTGGCCTGAGAACAAAGCAAATGCCACCCACTAAGCTTCGTCTAGTTTCTATCCAGTAGTGGAGGGAGCTGGAGTGAAAGGGGGCCCGAAATCTAGAGATAAGTTCACTAAACATCCCGGCCCAGAAGCTGTTGCTGGTCCTGTTGAGACTTTCACAGACCTGCAGGAGCTTGCTGCCTCTTGAGTGAGGTTACTGAGAGAAGAGCCAAAGCCCAGGCTCTCTATTCTAGTCTCACGTTAAAGGCTGGGGACTTTCTAACAAGGCTGTTGCCCAGATCACTGAGAGCAGACTCTTCGGAGGTGGGGTTGGGGCCTCCTTTTTTAAAAAACTGCTCTTGCAGGACACTTGGGTAGCTTAGTAGGTTAAGTGTCTGACTCTTCATCTCAGCTCAGGTCTTGATCTCAGGGTCCTGAGTTCAAGCCTTACGATGAGCTCCACACTGGATGTGGAGCCTACTTAAATTAAAAAAAAAAAGAAGATGAAGAAAGGAAGAAAAAAAACCCTCTTGTGATTGGAATGCAAAGTAGGGTTTTGGCCCACTGCACTTTGTGGCCCGTTTGTCCTGTCCCGGGGATGGGTGGCAATGGTGGGGAAAAGAAGTAAATTATACATCACCCAGAAGGTCCATTCCACTTCATTCCAACAGAATAGGGACATTCACTGGATGAAAACTTCAGGGGTCTTGATTTTTGTCAGACAACTCCATGGTGCAGGGGTGGGACGATAGGTGTAGAGAAGGGGTCACCGTGTATAATCACTATACTGGCTGCTGTGCTTACATCTCTCAGGTAGTTCCCACACCACCTTTGTAGAGCACGTGGTCCTCTCCTCATTTAACAGGTGTGGAAATCAAGAGCCCAGGTGTTGCTTTTCACCTGCTGGGCCCACTTCTTCAAGAGCAGAATCTTGGATACATGATCTGCACTGCCTGTGCAAACCCTCTTTTCTCTCCTCTTCCTCCTTGTGGGAAGGAAAATTCCTTTAAATAGGTTTTGTCCTTGCAGGGGGCCATCCCAGCAGGAGTACTGGGTTGAGAAAGGAAGAAGGGGAACCACTGGTACCCCCAGAGAGCAGGTGAGTTTTCCCCAGACTGGAGAGGGCCAGGCAGGGGTGAGGCATGAGAGGGGAGTACGGGGGCTGCAAGGCCCCCAGGGTAAGGGCAAGGGTAAGGAGCAGAGTGGTCAGAGGCTGAGCCCTGAGCCTTGGACCATGCAGGTCCCTGGAGACCCCCGTCCTGCCATCTCCTGTGACTGGATGGGGGAAAAGCCACCACCTGCTTGATGAGGGAGCCCAGATGCAAGGATTTCAGCAGGGTGCTAGGCCTGGGACCTGGTGGCCTCAGAACAGTCCTGGGATGCTAGCACTGGGATGCTCATGTTTCCCAGATGGGGATTCCAGCCACAGACAACGCGAGTGACTTGCCCCAGGCTCCACGGCTATGAAGAAAAAGAAAGCGCAAGCCAACTACTGTCCTTCCTGCAGTTGGACAAACTTGGGTTCCCTGCTAGCTGTGGACCGGGCCACAAGTAACTTCACACCATTGAGCTTTCACTTCCTCATTTGCAGAACTGGGTGAAGGGGTTCTTGTGAGATCAGCAAACAAGATGGCTTGGGGTGGGAGTCCTACCGGGTAGCAATCGTCTCACCTCCAGGTAGCTCCCAGGACAGATTCCCCTGGAGTCTGCAGTCCTGGGAGCCGGAGGGACAGAGAAGTGACAGTCAGTGGGACCCTGTGCCTAATGCTAGCCTTCTTCCCACCCATACTAATTTGCTTTGCTCAGTGAAACAGATTAGCCTGAGGTTAAATGCTGGCTCTCAGTTTGAAAGGAGTCCCAACCTATTAGGCAAAAGGTAACGACGAAACCTAGCATTCCTGTCTTCACCTGCCCCAGACTAAATATTCTGTTGGGATCCCTGGGTGGCGCAGCGGTTTAGCGCCTGCCTTTGGCCCAGGGCGCGATCCTGGAGACCCGGGATCGAATCCCACGTTGGGCTCCCGGTGCATGGAGCCTGCTTCTCCCTCTGCCTGTGTCTCTGCCTCTCTCTCTCTCTCTCTGTGACTATCATAAATAAGTAAAAATTTAAAAAAAAATATTCTGTTCAGAAAAAATAAGGATGGGTAGAATTTACCATTTTTAAAAAATTTAAATTCAATTTGTCAACATATAACACCCAGTGCTCATCACATCATGTGCCCTCCTTAATGCCTGTCACCCCGTCACCCCATCCCACCACCCACCTCCTGCAACCCTTTGTTTCCTAGAGTTACCTACCATTTACATCCGCATGGATGGAACTGGAGGGTATCATGCTGAGTGAAATAGGTCAATCGGAGAAAGACAAGTATCACATGGTTCACTCATATGTGGAATATAAGAAATAGTGAAATGGACCATAAAGGAAGGGGGGAAGCAGAAACTGAGTGGGGAAAAATTAGAGAGGAAGACAAAGCCTAAGAGACTCCTAACTCTAGAATTTACCATTGCATCAAACACCAAGGGATTCCTTGCCACTTTCCAATCATAGGCCTGGTAAAAAGGAGGCAAGAGCAGGTGTTGACGAAGTAGTTAACAACCTGGCCACCACCTCTTTGCCGGTGGACAGAGCAGAGATTCTAGAGTGAAGAGAGAAAAGCTGCAGTGGTGCTGGGTGTGATTCCACTTTCCTTCACTTTCTACCTCCCCTCCCCTACACACCTTTTTTTTTTTTCTTTTAAACCCACTTTTCAGTGTGTTTTGTTCTTTTTTTTTTTTTAAGATTTTATTTATTCATGAGAGACACACAGAGAGAGGCAGAGACACAGGCAGAGGGAGAAGTAGGCTCCATGCAGGGAGCCCGATGTGGGACTCGATCCTGGGACTCTGGGCTCAGGCCCTGAGCCAAAGGCAAATGCTCAACTGCTAAGCCATGTAGGCATCCCTTGTTCTATTTTTTAACTCAACTTTTTGAGGTCATTATAGATTCACTTGCAGTTCTAAGAAATAATACAAAGCTTCTAAGAAATAGAAATCTGCAAAGAGATTCCTCTGGATACCTTATCCAGTTTCTCCCAATGGTAACATCTTGTAAAACTATTGCTCAGTATCACAGCCAGGATATTGACACTGGTACAGTCAAAATACCAAACAGTTCCATCACTACAAGGGTCCCTCATACCCTTTTGTAGTCAAACCAACTTCCCTTCTCCACCTCAACTCCTGCCCTGGCAACCAGTAATCCATTCTGCATTTTATTCTCGCTTTAAGATATTATGATAGAATCATTATAGTATGTAACTTAGGGGCATTGGCTTTTTTTTACTCAACATAAATTATTGAAGTTGTTGCATCTATCAATAGTTCTTTTTTATCACGAGGTAGCGTTCCACAGTATGGATATACCACAGTTTGTCTAAACATTCACCCATTGTAAGACAGCTGGATTGTTCCAGTTCACGCCACTATGAATAAAGTTGCTATGAATATTCACGTACAGGTTTTTTGGTGACCATATTTCCATTTCTTTTGGACAAATACCCAACAGTACAGTTTTTTGGTTGTGTGTTACTTACATATTTAGTTTTATAAGAAACTGCCAAACTATTTCTCAGAGTAGCTGTGCTATTTTACGTTTCCACCAGCAATGTATGAGTGATCCGTTGTCTTCACATTCTTGCCTACATTTGATGCATCACTATTTTTTTATTTAGCCATTCTGATAGGTGTAGAGTGATATCCCATTGTGGTTTTAATGTGCACTTCCCTACTGCCTAATGATACTAGACATCATTTCATGTGTCTCTTTGCCATTTGTATATCCTCTTCAGTGTAGTTTGTCCAGGTCTTTTGTCCATTTTCTAATTGGATTGTTTTTTAATGTTGAGTTTTGAAAAGTCTTTATATATTCTAGATAGCAGTCATTTACTGGCAAAGTGGTTTGCAAATATTCTCTCCCATTTTGTAATCTGCCTTTTCATCTTCACATGCTATTTCACAGAGCAAAAGTTTTTCATTTTAATGAGATCTAATTTATCATGTCTGCAGTGTCAAGTCAAAGAATTCTTGCCTAGCCTCAAGCCTGAAAATTTCTCCTATAATTTTACTTTCTCACAGCACCATTTTTTGAAAAGCTATCTTTTGAAACTCCACTGGGTTGTTTTTGTATCTCTGTCAAAAATCAGTAGGGCATATCGATGGGTCTGTTTCTACATTCTCTATTCTGTTCCATGGACCCATGTATCTATTCCTTGTCACTATTCAAGTTTGTATTTTTCCTTGATTTCTGACATTTAAAATCAGAGGAGAAACCTGTGTTTTGATTGGTTCTGGAAACACTGACTTTCTCTCAGGATCTGAGGAAGAGGAAGACTCTTTGGAACAGTGGGGGGAAAAATCAGTCCTGGAAATCAAAAGATGTGAATCTTCATTTCCACTCTATTAAAGGTGACCTGAGTGAATCCTGTCACCTCTCTCGGCTTAAATTTCCTCATCTCTAAAATGAAGTGATTTGAAATAATGTTAGTTCATTCCAGATTGAATATTTTACCACTCCATGACTTAACTTATAAACTTAAGTTATAAACTTATTGGAAAAAAATTTATTGATAAACTTACATTTATCGCCCTCACTTAGTTTTCCAAATAAAAACAATCTCCCGGAGTCATAAGACATTTTGTTTTTGTTTTATCTGGTTTTTGTCTGATTTGGAGGGCCAGAGAAGACATGGCCTGAGCTTTTCAGAGAAGACACAGCCTGCTTAGTAACAAAATCAAGACCAGAAACCAAGTTTTGTAACATTCACCCATTGTAGGACATCTGGATTGTTCAATATTCATTTCAGTATTCTTTTCCATTCTATCTGTCTCCCTTATAAGAAGGAAATAACAGGCTTTTCCCTCTTCCTAACGAAAAGGAGAAATAGAAGATAGAGGTTAGTAGCATCCATTCAAAATGGGTTCTCTGAGCACCTACTAAATACCACACCTGTGGAAGTCCTCTTCCAGTATTTGAGAAGACAATATTTCTGGCTTTATGGATCCAGATTACACAAGAGCATATGAATTGATGAGAGAACAGTTTATGATACTGTATGATTAGGGGATGGCTATGGGTTACAGACAATTGAGCTTTTCGCTATAACAGAATACTCAGAAAGGTTGAGCAAGACGCTTGTAATTTAACCAGTCCAGAGGCAGGCCAGACTAGAGCAAGAACTCGATAACACCAAGAACTTTTTTTTTTTTTTTTTGTCCTTCCTCTCTGACATCCTTGGTGTGTTGGCTTGCTTTTTTAGATTTGTGTCTTCATGGTTAAGTATGGCTGTCACAGTTCTGAGCATCACATCACTACATTACTATCTCCAAAATCAATTATGATGTGAACAAAAATGGAGTTTGTTCTTTTTAAATTTTTTTATGAGAGGAGGAAAACTTTTCCAGATGCCCTCAGAGGACTTCCTCTCAGTTTTGATGAGCCAGATTCTAATCCTTTGCTCCTGCCCATACTCTGAGGATAGCTAGGAAACTGAGTCTTTGGAATTTTGAACTGGTATAGTAGAAGCTCTGCAATAAGGGAAAGAAAAAAGTAGGGGTGCAGCCTGGAAATGGCTATTAGGTAGGCAGCCAACCAGTCTGCTGCAATCCTCAAAGGAGAGACCAAGTGACCATTGGAGTTGTTGGGCAAGGTAGAAAGACAACTTGAGATTATTATTTTTTTTTTAAAGATTTATTCATGAGAGACAGAAAGAGAGGCAGAGACATAGGCAGAGGGAGAAGCAGGCTCCATGCAGGGAGCCCGATGCAGGACTCGATCCCAGATCCCAGGATCACGCCCTGAGTTGAAGGCAGGCACTGAACCGCTGAGCCACCCAAACACTTGAGATTAAAAAGAATTTCAAAAGAACTAGAATTTTATAAACCCTGGAGCAAACCCACAAAACAAAAAGATAGAGCTGATGAGCCAGAAGTGGAGATAAAATGGATTCCAAAAAAAAAACCCCACAAAGTACAGGAAAAGAAGAAAAAGACATAAAGAACAGATGGGACAAATAGAAAAATAAGATGGTAGGCTTAAATCCCACAATATCAATAAATACATTAAAAGTAAATGACCCCATAAGAGACTCTTAATCATAATCATAGGAAACAAACCAAGGATCGCTGGAGGGGAGGTAAGTGGAGAGATAGGGTAACTGGGTGATGGGCATTAAGGAGGGCACATGATATAGTGACCATGATATATAATGAGTACTGGGTGTTATTTTTTTTTAAGATTTTATTTAATTATTCATGAGAATAAATAATTCACAGAGGGAGAAAGAGAGGCAGAGACACAGGCAGAGGGAGAAGCAGGGAGAAGCAGGCTCCATGCAGGAAGCTCGAAGTGGGACTGGATCCCAGGACTCCAGGACCACACCCTGGGCCGAAGGCGATGCTAAACCGCTGAGTCACTCAGGGATCCCAGCACTGGGTATTATATGAGACTGATGAATCACTGACCTCTACCTCTGAAACTAGTAATACAATATATGTTAATTAATTGAATTTAAATAAAATTTAAAAAATAAATGTAAGTTACCTAAATACTCCAAATGAAAGGTATGCTGTGTACCCGAAACCTATTTAAATATAAAAATATATTTCCATTAAAAGGATTGGGATCCCTGGGTGGCTCAGCGGTTTAGCGCCTGCCTGCAGCCCAGGGTGTGATCCTGGAGTCCCGGGATTGAGTCCCACGTCGGGCTCCCTGCATGGAGCCTGCTTTTCCCTCTGCCCATGTCTCTGCCTCCCTCTCCCTCTCCCTCTCCCTCTCCCTCTCCCTCTCCCTCTCCCTCTCCCTCTCCCTCTCCCTCTCCCTCTCCCTCTCCCTCTCCCTCTCCCTCTCCCTCTCCCTCTCCCTCTCCCTCTCCCTGTCTCTCATGAATAAATAAATAAAATTTTTAAAAAATAGGATGAAAAGAGATGTACTAATTAACCACTAAGCATTATTATCAAAGTATTCTTCAGAATAAGGAATATTAACAGAGATAAAGGTCAATTCCTAATGGTAAGAGGATTAATTTGTGAAGACTCAGCAATTCTAAACAGAGCTTCAATATACACGAACAAAAACTGACAGAACTGAAAGAAGAAATTGGCAAATTCATAATTATAATTGAAGATGCCAACATTCCTCTCTCAATAATTGAAGTAACAAATAGAAAATCAGGAAGGTGGAAGTCTCAAAACATTATCAACCAGCTCTTAATATAAATGATGTTAAAAAAAATTAAAACCTGTAGATTACACCGTACATAGGGAGCATTCACCAAGTCAAGCCATATACTGGGCCATAAAAAAGTTAGATTGTTTAACAGTGGGCTCTCTAGTACTGGTATGCGTCTCTCGAAACCCGGAGGCATTCCTGAGCCTGGCATTCTTTTAGCCAAGAGAACAGGTAAGAGGGGAAAAGATGCCAAACCTGATCTGAATATCAATGGCATCAGCGTTTTCCTAATGATAGCATATCAAGTCCAAATATTCAGAGATTATGTATTGAGAAAGCAAATAAAGGCTAAGAAATACCAACTTTTAAAATTTTTCCTTGACTCATTTATTTTAGGGAGAGAAAGCAAGCATGAGACGGGGGAAAGGAAAAGACAGTCTCAGGCAGATTCTGCAGAGTGCAGAGCACAACGTGGGGCTCGATCTCACAATCCTGAGATGAGGACCTGAGCCAAAACCAAGAGTCGGATGCTTAACTCCCTGTACCACCCCGGCACCCCACCCCCGCACCCTTGACTCATTTAAAGTACATAAAGAGGGTCTAAAGAGTTGGATTTAAGCTCTTTCCAGTAGACTTTAAAATAAAAACCTCTATTTGTTTGACATATTGGAAATATTAAGTATGACTTTCCAACCTTATGAAATGAGAAGTTGCTGTAAATATTGTTAGGTAAGTGGTAAATGAAGAACGGGGTAGACAAAATAATTTTTTTTTCAAATATTGATATAGAATTTCACGATGTGCTGAGCAATGAAAGAACTTCTGGTTATATGAGGGAGCACAACCATCTAACTGGTTGGTCTTCAGATGAAAATGACTGGAATGAAGAACTGTATCCAGTGTGGAAGAAGGGAGACTCAAGGTGGAAAAACTCTTGGAAAGGTAAATCAATTATTCGAGCCAAACAACTGTTATTTTCTATTTAATTTAGTTTCATGGTTGTAGAGTTGGAGATCCCCTGGCTTACGTTGCTTCTGTGAATGACAGTACTTTAGTTACCAAGTGGGAGGCACATGGATTGGGCAATCTTTTCTTATCTCAGTATTGTCACTAAGTCACATACACAAAGGTTTATTTAATCCCTTTAGAAATGGACAAGTTTGTAGTTCTTAGAAGATTTTAGAGAGCACACAGATTTTACCCTCAAACCTCTTTCCATCATGTGGGAATGGTCCTCTTCAGAAGATCTGAGATGCTAGAGCAGTTTTGACCATCTCAAAAGTGTGGTTTATCAGAAAGTGAGTATCTTTCCATTCAAATTAAAGAATGAGTCCTTGAGTCATTGATTTTGAGTCTAAACAAATACGGACCCTTAATACTTGTTTTCTCAATCCAATTGAGCACATTTTAAAAATTCTAAGTAAATGTCCTTTCTATGGTCAGAAAATTCTTTAATTGATCTGACTTTTTGTGTGTGTGCCTTCTAGAATGTTGTACTCTGAAAGCAAAAGTTAGGAAAATAATCCGGAAAATAATTTATTGTTAAGAGGCATAAGAATGGGAGGACACTTGACTGGCTCAGTTAGAGCAGGCAATTCTTGATATCCAGATCATGAGTTCAAGCCCCACACTGGGCATAGGGCTTACTTTAAAAAAAAAAAAAAAAAGGCATAGGGAAGCTCTGGTCCTTATTAGTGGATTTAACTCTACTTTGTTTATCTACCAGTGAAAGGAAAAAGATGCTTGATCATTAACTTGTACTTTTTTTTAAAGATTTTATTTATTTATTTATTCATGAGAGACACGGAGAGAGAGAGAGAGGCAGAGACACAGGCAGAGAGAGAAGCAGGCTCCATGCAGGGAGCCCGATTCAGGACTCCATCCTGGGTCTCTGGGATCAAGACCTGAGCCGAAGGCAGACACTCAATCGCTGAGCCACCCAGGTGTCCCTAAATTATACTTTTCTATGTGTTAGGAGGCCATGTGCGGGCGATTCTCACCAGTGATTCACCAGCTCTTGTGGGCTCAACGATCACATTTGTGGTAGACCTGGTATTTCCCAGATGCCAAAGGGAAGATGTCAGTGGCAACATAGTCTATGAGAAGAACTGCGGAAATGGTAAGGAATGTTATTCGTGGAACAGTCTAGTCCTCCTAACTACTGGAGCTCCATCTCATGAACCTGAAGGCTCTCAGGTAATTCCGTAAAGGCAAGGTGCTGTCATCCTATGTCGCCCCCGCCTCAAATTGGATGACAGGGAGATGTTGCTCTACCCAGTTCCTACATCAACATTAGCCAAATCCGCTTGAGCAAACTGGTGGCTTTCCACTTGGAACTTTCTTCAAGAGTTACATTGCCATGCTCAGCTTTTTCTTAGTATCTAGTTGATTAGCCAGAGAATACCTTGTTGATTCTCAGATTTTGGTTTGATTACTTGGAATTCTTTTGGCTACTCAAAGAATAGCCAATTTGACAGAAATCTGGTCAGATTAATTTCTATATACAGGTATCGTTTAAGCAAATGTGTGTGGCTAGTGCAAATGCAAAGATGTGTATGTTTTGGTTTTGCTTTGCTTTTAAAGTAGGTAAGCTCTGTACATGTTAAAGAGCACAAATGAACACAAATGCATCAAGAGAAATTATTTTGAGAACTGCACATTCTCAAAAACTCTGAGCTAATTACTGAGATTCTTCAATCAGTGACAAGACTGGTAGATGCACTTATGATGGGATTTTATTACTTAGAACTTCTGTTAAACTGTCGATGCATTCATTTCTTATTAATTTATCATCTTCCTACTAGGAAAACATTAGATTCTGTATAAAAAGGGTTTGATATTTTTAAAGTATTGTTTATTAGTAGTAGTAATTTTTCTTTTTTCTAAAAATGTTAATTCTTACGAATGTTTTAAATGACACTTTAGCCCTCTGAGCATTTTTATATGAAGAAGTCCCTGTGAACTTAGGAAAATTTTTATATAATATTTATCACCACATAAAGAACCACTGAGTTGATTGATACCAAATGACTCAGGTGAAAAAAAAACCTACAGATAGCAGTATCAATGTAAAAAGATTAAGTATCCCTCAGTTTGAATACAGTTGTGATGTGGAGATCCAATATTAAAAATAAATATATTGTGGTATCTCTCGGATGAATCTTTCTGAATAATTGCTTTATATGAAATTTTTACAGAAATATAACCTATAGGCAGAAAATGGACATGCCAAAAATATACACCACTGGATGAATTCTGAAAATTAAGGTTTTAGTTGTCCAACTATATTTATATTTATGAAAAATATAAAAAGATGTTTAATTCAATGATGAGCGTTGAACATTCTGAGCCCAGATGACAAGCCTGGGTTGTTTCTTTCTCTGTCTAGATACTGGTCCATCGCCTGACCTGTATGTTTACAATTGGACAGAGGAAGGCAGCTGGGGAAATGGTACCAACGAACACCATCATGATGTGTTCCCTGATGGAAAACCTTTCCCTCACCACCCTGGATGGAAGAGATGGAATTTTGTCTACGTCTTTCGCACACTTGGTTGGACTTTTTACAAAACTCCTTCAGCTTCTTCTTTACTTGCCCTTAAATTGTTAATTTTGTTCTCTTTTCTTATTCTATAATCAATAATGCTAACATCAAGAGTTTAACAACAGTTACTCAATTAACTTTCCTTACCTAGGGTACAGGGGAAGGAATGAAAAGAAAATCTTGTTGTAGCTTTGGCAAATCTTTAGGACACCAAAGAATTAAAAGAAGGTAAAAAATGGATTCAGTCTTTTTAAAAAGAAAACTTTTCAATTTCTTTCTGTCTAAAACAGTAATATGAGAAAATAGGAATAGTTTGGCACACAGATGGGCATTTAATTTTTTTCTTTAATTTTTTGTTGTCAAAAGATTTTTTAAGAAAGTTATATTCTTTGTAGGAAATTTAGAAAATGCAGAAAGTACCAATGAAAAATAAGTCACCCATAATTAACACCAGAGATTATCATTATTAACACGATGGATTTTTTTTTTTTCGCTAGTACTTCTGGGTTAATATTAGAGTGTATAGGGCAGCCCGGGTGGCTCAGCGGTTTGCACCGTCTTCAGCCCAGGGTGTGATCCTGGAGACCCGGGATCGAGTCCCACATCGGGCTCCCAGTGCATGGAGCCTGCTTCTCCCTCTGCCTGTGTCTCTGCCTCTCTCTCTCTGTGTGTGTGTGACTATCATAAATAAATTAAAAAAAAAAAAAGACTAACATTTAAAAAAAAACTTTAAAAAAAGATTAGAATGTATACACATTTTTGTTGAATATCATGAGCATTTGAGCATATCATTAAAATTCTTTATGTACATTATTTTAATGACTGTATAATATTCCACTGTGTAGCCATAACCTAATCTAATCACTATTCTTTGACAAAGCCTACCTTCTTTTTTTTTTTAAACCACAAATGGTCTCCACTTTTGTTTTATTATTGGTGAAATGATTATTTTTAGGAGGAGCAAGTTTAGGTTATAACTTACCAAAGATGCTAAGTTCTTAAAAATGTCACCAGGTGCCACCTGGCTATGAATGTGTGAAAATTGCTACTAAAATCATGCAGGCTCCAAACTTCTACATGTTTTTGTCTTTTTTTTATAAATCAGAGGAAGTTTCTCTGTTCCATTAACTCATTTATAAGTCAAAACAACATATTAACAATACACATCAGTTTAACAAAGCACAAAATACAGATCAGATATTATGACCATCTAGTTAAGTCGGGAGTGAAGGCTGACTTTGTTTCATTGCCTTTATGGCTCTGTCAGTCAACTCCCCAGATGCCATCATTTCTTTGAGCTGACCATTTGTATGGAGTCATGTATGCTCACCAACATTCCAGTCTCTCTTTGGCTCTTTTTAGTCAAGATGTCTATTAAAATCAGCTTTCAGCGCAGAAATTGCTGCTTTTCTAATTAGACTGTTTTGAATTTCCACATTCTGAAGTCTCAGAGTAAACAGATATTCTCCTTCAAGAAATAGTTGCTTCTGTGGTCCTCGATGCCAGCACTAACATTTTCCCCATGTGTCACTAGTCCCCTGACTAGTCCCCTGACTAGTGACACATCTTTCCCCTCCAACCTCCAACCGAACCACCTCTGCATCTCAAGGTAAAGGGGATTCCAAGTCACATATCCCTGAGAAGATTAATGTGTTTTTCTGATACCTTTGACCATTTAATAAACATGGTCTTTAAACATCCCCGCAAGCATTCGTCTTACCATCCCTGTCATTCCAATCACACATCTATGCGGGGCCCCTCAATAGGATTAGAAAAATCCTTGGGCCCTAAGAGAGAGGAATTACTTTCTCCATCTAGCCAGTGGTAGTCAGATTTAGGTTAGGGCTGGAGAAGGAGAAAGAGTGAGTCAAAAATGTCCTAGAAATGTCTTTATAGAACTACTGCATTACTTTTTACACCTACCATACCCTGCCCTTTTTTTTTTTGTATCACTCACTGTGTTTTTTTTTTTATATATTAGTAAATGGAGGATCCTAGTCCAAAAAAAAGAAAGAAATTGCTTAATTATATAGCTGAAATAGTAGTATTGTTACAACAATAAAGTACATCTTTGGATAGATTTTAACTCCTTTGGATACCTCACCATTACATTGCATGAGTTTTCTCTGAAACACATGTATTTCAAGTGCCTGACCTCTTATTTATAAACATTTTTTATTTGTAAACTAGGGACTAGCAGTATTATCCCACTAAACAGCTCTTTTCATTTTAACCAACTATATACAATTATATTTATGTAACTGTGGGTTTGTGTATAAGGTTTTACATCAAATGAGTACCATCTTCCTTTCTGAAGCAGCCAGGACCGCATCCCCATCCTGTTTTTCCTTTTCCAGAGCACTTTCTAAGCGGCAATCACTAGTCAAAAAGAAACAACAACTTCCTCTAATGATCACATAATGTGGCCAATAACTAAAAATTTCCATCCTCTCAAAGGTCAGTATTTGCAGAAATTAGGACGGGGTTCAGCAAGAGTTTCTGTAAACACAGCCAATGTGACACTTGGCCCTCATCTCATGGAAGTAATTGTTTACAGAAGACACCGACATGCATATGTCCCCATCGCAAAAGTGAAAGATGTGTACGTGGTAACAGGTGAGTGGTGTGAATTCTCAGGTAACTGATGGTGAGGCTGTTAGTTCTGGTGCTGTTAGTGGGTTAAGAAAGAGTCAGAACCAAGTGATCTGGGCTCAGTTACAATTCATATTCCCTAGCTTATATGTTTAATTATATGGTGCTCCATCTGTGTTTCCAGAATAACTTGGAAAAACACTAGAAAACTTACATAGGAGAAGGGAAAATGATGCTGAATTATCCCTCATTTTAATTTTTTTAACCTAAAAGCATTATTGAAGTCATCCACTTAAAAATCAAGCAATCACGTGTTCTTTTGGTTTTGTATATCTTTTAGATCACATTCCTGTATTTGTGACTATGTACCAGAAGAATGATCGGAATTTATCTGATGAAACCTTCCTCAGGGATCTCCCCATTATGTTCAACGTCCTGATTCACGACCCTAGTCACTTCCTCAATGAGTCAGCCATTTACTACAAGTGGAACTTCGGCGATAATACCGGTCTGTTTGTTTCCAACGCTCCAACTTTGAATCACACATATGTGCTCAATGGAACCTTCAGCCTTAACCTCACTGTGCAAGCTTCAGTGCCTGGACCTTGTCCTTCACCTTCACCCACACCTCCAAAACCCACTTCTTTATGTAAGTGCTTTCCAGGTGATCTTTGATGGAGGTTCCTTAACGGCTAAAAAAAAAAAAGTTCTAATATATGTTACATAATTAGATCCCTAGTGTAAAGGATTGTGAGAGAGATTGTAGTGATTCCATTCTATACCTGTTTTTATTTAGCTACTTTATCACCATTTTGAGCTGCTAGAATATGGCAGAAAGGAGTCTGTTTAAAGTTATTTTGCAAGTAGAATTTTGTGACTTAGGTGCAGTTCTTTGATCTTCCTCATTTGCATTGATCCTTGTTATGTGTACAGATGCTGTCCCTGTCTGGTCTGTCACATTTCTGTTTCTTTCTCATTTCTTCTAGCTATGAAAACACACCTTGGCCCCTTATAAACATTCAGGCCATCCCCACTTTCTTTCCCCCCCTCCCACATTTCTCCCCATCTCCATTCTCCTCCCTGCCCACATCTACCTTGTGTCCCATGAAAACACAACCAATTTGGAAAGCAATTTCCAAACGGCCCAAGAAAGAATGTACCTTGAGGGATCCCTGAGTGGCTCAGCGATTTGGCGCCTGCCTTTGGCCCGGGGCATGATCCTGGAGTCCCAGGATCGAGTCCCGCATCAGGCTCCCTGCGTGGAGCCTGCTTCTCCCTCTGCCTGTGTCTCTGCCTCTCTCTCTCTCTCTCTCTCTCTGTCTCTCTCTCTGTCTATCATAAATAAATAAAATCTTTAAAAAAAAGAAAAAAGAATGTACCTTGAGAGTATTTCTCAGCTTCAGACATTAAAATTGTTCTGGATATATAAGGAATAATGAATTAAATCCCACACTCTAACAGTATATGAAGCCATTCAAGAAGTTCTTAAGAGTCTACCTTGGAAAGTGTTAGATTCCCTCTAATGCCCTACTCTACCCCACTGCGCCATGAGTACATCTTAGCACTTCAGTGCAGAGGTGATGGTAACAGATACATTCTCCGCTGGTCACAAGAGGGTGCCATCACCAAGCCCAGAGGAAATACTCCATCGTGATGCCCAGACTTGTTGCAATTCTTGTTTACCAAAACCTGTTATAGGTAATAGTTATCATAGTATGTTATTAATAAAATTAGATCTCATCAAATAGGACATGTCTAAATCAAGACACCATAAATTATTGGTAATTTTGATTCATTCTTTTCCGAAATGTTTTAAATTACAAAATTAATGTATATTCCTAAATAAAAATTCAAATAGAGAAGTCTAGAATAAAAATGAAAGTCCCTATTCACATTCCCCTTGCAAGAGTTTAACCTTGTTAATAGTTGGAAGCTTTTCTTTCCATATCTTTTTCTATGCATTTACAAATATATTCTATAAATATACATAGCCATTTTGCTTTAATATTTAAGTACTTGAGCTCATGCTATATATATGGTTCTATGATTTGCTTTTCTTCACTTAACACATCAAGGACATCTTTCTCTTGTCAGTACATATAAATCTAACTCACTTTTTTCAGTGGCTCCATAGCATTTCATAGTATGTATAAATTTAGTAAGTAACTAATGTGGTATGTACAGATGTATAATTTAACCATTCTTTTTTTGATGGTTAGGTTATTCCTAATTCCAATTACAAATATAACTGCACCGAACAATTCTAATTGTGTAGCTTCATTCTGGTAGTTCTGTAAGAGAATTTTTTCTATAAGTATTGATGGTCTTCTTTAGATATAAGGAGACGAGGTGTAAAATTCAAAATAAATTGCAGATGTCTGTAATATCTAGAACTGTCTAGAAATTCCTAAGTCGGGTAAAGAGTTTAATGTTCATTTATTCTATCAGTAGCCTATTTTAAATTGCATTTTTATTAAGCTAGCTTATTTTTCTTAGAATGTATTTATATCATAGCATGTATAAAAACATTTTTTAAGTCAGTCAATGGGAGGTGGCTGGGTGGCTCAGCGGTTTAATGCCTGCCTTTGGCCCAGGGCATGATCCTGGAGTCCCAGGATTGAGTCCCACTTCAGGCTCCGGGCATGGAGCCTGCTTCTCTGCCTGTGTCTCTGCCCCTCCCCCTCTCTCTATGTCTATCATGAATAAGTAAATAAAATCTTAAAACGTCAGTGAAAGGTATTTCAATTTTATGATTAGATCATAAAATATTAGATAGTAACTTTATGAATTATGTTTTCTAGTGAAGGAAAGCTGCCTCACTTTATCTAAAAGTGTTGTTAGATTGACCATAATCAACCCCAGAATGCTTTATAGTAGCTGTGAGAGTTGAGGACAGGAGGGATGGGAATAAGTAATGGGACTGGAGGAGATGAAAGTCATTTGAACTCCTAAGTGGGAGTATTTTCAGCGATGTGGATCATATCAAAGGCATAGATTATAATTTGAATTAGGTTCTCTTTGTTTTTGCTAAGTGTCTTCATAAGAAAGCACAGCCACTAAATAGAAACCAAATGCAACCACATGGGTGAGACAGAACCAGGGGTGAAGAGATGACTCAGGAAACTGATTACATCATAGGGCAGACAGGTGTGCCTGAATTCACTTTCCTTAGCTAACAGTGAAAGTCTTAGCTTTCAGACTTTTGTGAGTAAAGTCTTAGCTTTCAGAGTAACTCTGCAGAGAACAACCTTTGTTAAGACTGAGGCTGATCAGTATAATTCACAGAGAGAGTTTATGCTAAAATACACATCATGACACCGTTCTCTGGGTAACAGGGACATAAACCATGAATGAAGTCTGAGGTTCACCTTCTTTCCCATCTGTCTTCCCAGGTGTTAGTTTTTCTTCCATTAGTCCTTTAATTGTACCTTCACTTAAGATACAGGGATTTGGACTTTATAGATACATCTACAAAACTCCATAATCATTTTTATAAGCATTCTTCTAAAGGTAAAATCCTTAACTTGTATCATTTGTTCATTTTTTAAAAGAAATTTTATTTTAAAAGATGCTAGGGTCATGATTCCATGTTCTAACTTGATGAATTCTCCCCATTAAGGAATCCAGTCATCTTTACTACCCAGCACAGAAAGTACCTATTAATGGCTCTAGAGCACATCAGGCCTCAGGATGGAATGAATGATTGTCCGATAATTTCCAAAGGACCACCCTGAAACTCCAGGGATATTTGAATCTCTAATGGCATCAGAACCTCTCTGGGCTTTACCCCAAGCACTATTTTCCAAAGAGTGTGATGCAGCACTTGTTTCTAGAGAAGCTCAGAGAATCACGCAGAGAAGGCCCTCCAAACAAAGAAGGGTCCTGGGCACATCCATCCCCCCACTAAAGACTCAGAGAAGCCCTGGAGAAATCTCCCAATTGGCTTCCCACCCACATGTCAGAGTCACGGCTCTTAATGAAGTTTCGATGTCCTTCCCCTAAACTGCATCCATTTTCATGCTTTTTGAAATTTTCAACATTGTATTTTCTTTCCAGTTTTTTTCTTTTATTAAAGAAACACCAGCACCTTAATTAGAGCTTTTACAATTGTAACTAATAATAGAATAATAATTATTTGCCCTAATCATATTCAACGAGTTATTTTCAAAAGTATCTGATATTCACTCCTTTCCTTCCCTGCACCTCAGCCCCTCAATAACTGCAAGACGTTTAGAATATAAGCTTTGGAGCCATGAGACACCCAAACAAAAGAACTGCCTTTTTCCATGTTGCTTCTTAATCTCTTATGCACCAATCTTCACATATGAAATTATGTATCTATGAATGTGATAGATTTCCGTTCAGCTATTAAGATATAGATATTCTGTCTTTGGACAAGGGAACTATTTATTAAGGATTTCCTATGTGGCAGGCATGAGAAGCAGGTTTTACAGATCTTATTTCATTTAAATTTCATAGTTCAACCTTAGTAGGGCAATTGGTATTAGTTATGTCTTACAGATGAGCAAATTGAGGCAAGGAGAGGTTAAATGATATACCTGTGGTCTCAAACAGCCAAAACCAAGAGACCTGGAATTTGAGGCTCAAATACTTGGCTCAAAAATTGAAATAGGATCTAATCTATCCTGGCCTGCTTGATTTCGTCATGATTGTAACACACATTTTAACAGGGCTTCTACCTTTCATTTGATTCCTCTGTTTAAGGAAGATACAGGATTGTGTTTACTTACATAATTTAACAATTATAATGCCTCCTAGCTCTCACATCTCTATGAATCAGAACATATTCAGATTTCTGCAGTAATTTTTTTTTAAGATTTTATTTATTTATTCATAAGAGACACAAAGACACAGAGACACAGGCAGAGGGAGAAGCAGGCTCCATTCAGGGAGCCTGATGCAGGACTCAGTCCCCAGACCCAGGGATCAGTACCTGAGCCAAAGGCAGACGCTCCACCATTGAGCCACCCAGGAGTCCCTGCAGTAATTTAATTGTATGGAGCTCTTGATGTTTTTCTTTTTTTTTTTTAAGATTTTATTTATTTATGAGAGACACAGGGAGAGAGAGAGAGGCAGAGACACAGGCAGAGGGAGAAGCAGGCTCCATTCAGGGAGCCTGACGTGGGACTCGATCCCAGGTCTCCAGGACCATGCCCTGGGCCAAAGGCAGCGCTAGACCACTGAGCCACCTGGGCTGCCCTCTTGATGTTTTTCTAAAGGGAAGGGGGATGATTAGATTTTTGGTTATCATGTATCTGTTTAGATTTGGGATTATTAGGCATTATGTGCATCTTTTACATTCTCAGCAACTAATCTAACATCTTGTTATTCCAACTCCAGCATCTGCTGGTGACAACCCCCTGGAGCTGAGGAAGACCTCTGGTATAACCTGCCTTATTAACAGATATGGCTACTTTAAAGCCACCATCACAATTGTAGGTAAGAGCAGCAGGGGAAAGGTGTTAGAATCTCCCTGGGGCCACCCTTTCACTCTATTGACTCTGGAGGGGCAGGGGCAGGGGCAGGGGCAACCACTCTGTTCAGGGTGATACCACATGGGTACAAGCTGATTCCACCAGTTTCTAGATTCCCACTGGCCCGCACCAGCCTTCCTTAGACTGGTAGAAATGAGCCCAATGTGAGGCCCACGTACTAAGGAGCCTGCCTGAAGCCTAGGTCCCCCACACTGTGCATTCCAGAACTCTGAAGGAAAGCAAGCAGCAAGTTCCTACAACCTTCACTTTCTTTCTCTAGCTGATTTCACAGAGTCATATTTCTTATGTGTAAGAAAGAGGATTGAACAGGGCTTCCACAGATGGCTCTGTATTATGGGCACTGCACATGGCACCCACAGAGAAGACAGGTAGGGGCCAAAGTCCAACCTGGGCACTCTGGTTCTGGAGATGGGAGCTAAATCCCCAGCTGTGCACCCTGGGGCTGAGAGAAGTCTGCAGAGGCCTGAGACCAAGGGCTGAGTCCTCCCATGGAGGAGCGGGAAGGCCATGTCTCTGTTTTGTGTGGCTTTCTGATTTATTAAGGAATGGTTTGGTTTAGTTTCTATTGTATTTTGATGTGTTTTCCTGTGGGTTGTTTTGTTAGAGGGAATTCTGGAGGTTAACATCATTCAGATGACAGATGTTCTGATGCCGGTGCCACAGCCTGACAACTCCCTGATGGATTTTGTTGTGACCTGCCAAGGGATGTGAGTACATGTCAGTCAGAGGAATGGGTTAAGGTCTGAGCAAAGGCCTTAACACCATCTCCCCCTTCGAAGTTGATTTAGATTCCTGGTTCATCAGTCAGCCACAACAAGGAAAGGCCCTGTGAGGTGCTCTGAAGTGCACACTTGTTTTGCTGGATTGAACAATGCTTATTACCTTTAAACTTCTGATGAGATTGAATAATAATTATTGATTGAACACTTACTATGTTCTTAACATTTTACATCTGTTCTCAATATTGAAACCTTACCCAATCCTGAGTCTTCTCATTTTAGAAATAGGTCCACTGAGGCATACGGTGATTCCAGAATTTGCCCCCATTGATGGCAGGTACCTGCAGAGCATGGTTCACAGGCTATGGTCTGGCTCAGAGCCTAACACTTAGGCTCCCTGAGGCCCCTCCAAGTGATGGGAAGCCAGTGTGGAACAGCCATGTCCTAGTATTAATTAATAGCCACGCCCAATAATCCTGTATCTCTAAACTTTACAAAGTTTTTTCTAATGTATTCTATAATTTTACTTCCTATGGTTTGAACTATATAATAGACTAAATATAAGTTAATTAACATATAAATACAACATTAACTAAAAAGGCTAAAGCATTCACAAATTTACAATTATAAATTAAGTAGTTAAAATGTGTATGTGTAAATGTATAAATTAATCAATAGAATGAGATGTTATAAAAATGTGGCCTTATTTGATTAAAAGGATAGCTATAGAAGCTTTCCAGCTGGGGATCCCTGGGTGGCTCAGCGGTTTAGCACCTGCCCTTGGCTCAGGGTATGATCCTGGAGTCCCGGGATCGAGTCCCACATTGGGCTTCCTGTGTGGAACCTGCCTCTCCCTCTGCCTCTCTCTCTCTCTGTCTCTCATGAATAAATAAATAAAATCTTAAAAAAAAAAAAAAGAGAGAATCTTTCCAGCTTGGGGAGAGGAGGACGATGATGACAGAAAATTGAGAAAAACCTGATGAAGGAATGAGGCCAGCTGATGAGAAAACGTGTCCTCCATGCCACCCACACCTCAGCAGAGCCAGCCTCAGAGTGTGGTCTCTCCATCCAGGAGGTCCACTAGAAAGTGAAACAGTAGTACTGCGTAGCCACATTGCCTCGTGGTTGTCACACCTCATTTATTTGAATCCCAGCACCACCCCTAACTGCTTGTGTGACCTCAAGGTCATCTCCCCTCCCCCAGCTGGTTTGTCACCTGCTACACTAAGCTAATCTTACTTTCCTCATCAGGTCATTGAGAGAGATAGACAAGACCATGTCACACATCTACAACTTCGTGTCTTGCATGTGGTAAATACTGCATAAGCAGCCACTGCTGCTGTCCCATCTGCAGGGACCCAGGGGGCCGGCTCTGGCATTTAATAGTATCTTTGCTGCACACCTAAGCCACCTGCACCTGCAGGTATTCTAGGGAGCCCAGGCATGGAGGAATGACTTGGGCTTTACACAGTTTCCTCCAGTCCCCTGCCTTGGAGGGGTCATAATTTCTTCCTTCCCAACTCCCAGGGCCATATCTTTCTAAGGAAACAGGGGAAACAGTAGCTCATACCCAGGTTTGTTTAAGAGTAAATTATATGTGACAATTTGATATCAAACAGTTTGATATTCTACATCATATGCAAGAATAAAAGAGTAAAGTGAAATTCAAGTTAATTCTAGTGGAATTCAAGTGGAATTTCTAGTCAATTTTATAGACAGATAATGATTATGATTGTCTCTTCGAAACTGATATTACATCTCCCTCCCTTGGTGCTACTTGTGCTCTCAGGATGCCAACAGAGGTCTGTACTGTGGTTTCTGACCCTACCTGCCAGATCACGTATGACACAGTCTGCGACCCTGTAGGTGAGGACATGGGTCATGAGTGCTTGCTGACCGTGAGAAGAGCCTTCAGTGGGTCTGGGACGTACTGTATGAACCTCACTCTGGGAGATAATACAAGTCTGGCCCTCACGAGCACCCTTGTCTCTATCCCTGAAAGAGGTAAGTTTTGTTTTACAGTTTAACAAAGGTTTCATATTGTAGGTACAGTTGTGTGTCCTATACTGAAGCCATTCAGGGTTCCCTATCAATGTCAACTTTATTTCAGTACAAAAATCACTGAACTAGCATTAATATGGATTTGAAAGCTGGCATTAAAGTCCAACAGCAAATCCTACTTAGGGAAGCGATGAGAGAGAGAGACCCAATGAAATAATGACCAAAGATAAGTCTTTTGATGAATAAAATCAGCTGTGATCATGGACCAGTAATAATGGGATATGATCACTGCATACTCGAAGAGATTTATATTTCAAGGGAAAAGTATAAAGCCTAACATCAAAAAACAACAATGTTCTCCAATTAAATTATAAAAATGGGGATACTGGTATCCTGTTGTCATTAGGATCCCCCTAGGCAAACAAATGAAGCCAAGAAGAGAAACGAGAAACCAGGTGGACTCCTGGCTCATTTCTAGCTTATCATGTATCCTCTTTTTTTCCTTCCCAAAGTCTACCAAGCATAACACTGAAACAGTAACCAACTTATCTAGTCCTCAGATGTTCACCAGCAAATCTACCCTTTGCCTCCCTAGTGCTTCGAGAGGTGAAATGCTAGCAAAGTGGATTAAAGAATTTCATTGAGAAATTTTCATTTGCTGGAATGAAAAAGAGATTAAATTTGTGCACACATTACAGCACTTATTTTGCTGCTTAATCTGAGTATTGTCAGGTATAGTCTAATAACTAACTCACAAAGAACTCCTTTGGATTTGGAGCCTATCACATAAGGTAAAATGTACTAAAACATAGATTTACTCATTAACTTTTAAAAGGCAGCTTTAACCTCTTGAAAGAAAAGCTTAAGTAACCATACATATAATTATTTGTATGAGGGCTTATAGTTGGTGAGATTGAAGGTACAGATTTTAAAACAAAACAAGGCTGTAAAGGTGCCCTGCTTCCTTTAGTGGGGCCTGCTCTGTGGCCCCCCATGGGAGGGATGGAGGGAGGGAGGAGGTGGGCCGGGGACCCTGGAACGGAGGGAGCTGAGCTCAGGGTTTCAGAGCTGTCACCTCCCGAAGTTGCTGTGGTTACTCATCTTGTGCTGGTGTGGGATGTTTTTAAGTCTTTTAGGGTCATAACCTATTCTACGAAGCTTCCTCAGTGCTGGCAAATCACTGCTCTCTTATCTAGATTAGATGTTCAGATATTTGCTTTCCTTTAATTCTTTTTGCAGTGAGTGATAACTTTAGATCATCTGAGCCATCTCAAAATCCAAATAAAGGAAGCTCAGAAAGAGAGCGTTTAATACAGGAAGAATTGTAACTTGATGGCTTGGGTTTCAAAGTCAGAATTTCAGAAATAGATCTTTGGTCAAAAGCAACCCATGAACTTTTAGCAGAAATGACTTTTACTCATTGATTCCATGAAGCACCTGTAATTCTTTCAACAAATATTCGTTGAGCATCTACTCCATGCCCAACAGAGCTCTAGGCATGAGAAACAGAGTTCTAGACAGCGTGGGGAGCAAGGTGAAGAAGGTCCCTGTTTTTATGAGTGGGAAGAGACAACAAATAAAATAACACTGTGGAGAAGGTAAAACCAGGTTGGAGCACAGAGTGTGATGAGCATGGGAGAGAGGGGAAGAGGTTGGCTCTCTAGATTGGGAGGCCAATGAAAGTCCTACCCAGCCTGCAGCATCTGCTTGTGAAGGTCCTCCTCTGAACTGAAGCCTGAATTTCAGGAACGAGCAGTTCATTTCAATCATTATAGACCACTGGTAGGGTTTGAGTTTTATTCTGTGCATAAGGGTAGTCACCAGCAGGTTAGAAGCATGACCTGATTGATGCTTTTAAGGATAATTCTGACTACCGAGTGAAGCAAGGATCATCGGAAGGTAGGAGTGGAAGCAGGTAGACAAGAGGTCCTCTCAGGGGAGAAGGCTAGTGGCTGAGACTGAAGTAGTAGCAGAGAGGATGGAGAAAAAACAGATAAACTCCAGTTACACTTGGGCAGCAGTGACGAAACTAGTTAATTTGCTGGTTTCCGGGAATACAGAGAAAACGTAATCCCTGCTTTGTGGTTCCCACAGAGCTGAACACTTAAAATGAGTCAGGGAAGGATATTCCCAGCAGAGGGCCTGGAGCTTTGAAAGAGCAGGGGAGAATAGGCAACTCCCAGGATTTTTAGTACAACTGAAAGACAGACAGTGGGAGATGAGGTCAGAGGGGTGGCCAAGAGGGTCATGGAGCCCTTCACCATGTGGGTGCTCCTGGGTCAGCTGATACCTGAGCAGGTGTCTCCAGGACATGACATGTCTCTTCTGTGCTCTTAACACAGTGTTCCGGACACGCTAACTCATTCTCTAAATGGAAGATAAGCTGACCCAAAGACTATGTATTATTTAATGGAAAAGATTACTGAAAACCCAGAGGGAGCCATATATCTTCTGATAGCTCCTTTCCTCATTTATTTAATTGCATTACAAGCAGCATGTCCCCTATGTGGAAGATGTCACTAATACTGTCTTGCTTCTGTCCTAAGACCCAGCTTCCCCTTCAAGAATGGCAAATGGTGTCCTGGTTGCCGTTGGTTGCTTAGCCATATTTGTCACTGTGATCACCCTTTGGGTATACAAGTAAGTTTCTGCTTTTAATACTTGAAATCACTATAGTATATTGTCAAAACTAAATTGCATATTTCTGCATAAATGGGCCATTTCCCCTTTTTGCTTGTAAACATTCTGCATAGGGGAGGAAAATCTTCATTGAATGATGAATACCAAACTAGACTATTAATTTTGCTGTGGTTTTCCTTTAATCCTAAAAATGCTGCCAGACATCAGTAACTTAACAAAATTGTGTCAGCTTAATGTTTAACACATAATCACACATTATAGTAGGCAGGCACACTTCTTGCATGAACAAGGGAAATTAACTATACTTTCATAAGACAGCAGTGTTTTAGAAGCTGTGGGTTGGATTAAATGGAATTAACCCTTTTACACTTGGCATGTAAAAGGTTGTAGAAAGTAACATATTCCAGTTGGAGATCTTTTTTTAATCTACCACATTGTTTTCAGAAAACACAAGGAATACAACCTGATAGAAAATAGTACTGGGATCGTGGTCAAAGGCAAAGGCCTGAATGTCTTCCTCAACCGTGCAAAGGCCATGTTCTACCCTGGAATCCAAGAAAAAGATCCACTGCTCAAGCACCAACCAGGAACTCCTTAAATCTTCAGCTTTATTTCTGACAACAGCTCACTCTTCAATGCCATTTGTGTGAGCTGTGCCAGAGTTGATGACTATCAATTTCTTTTCCTAAAGATTATTGTTAAAATATATATTGCGGCTTAGGGAGGTTCAAAGTTTTTTTTAATAGGCTAGATGACATTTTAGAGAAGTGGAAAGGAATTATGCTGTGCACAACCTCAGCCATTTTATAGAACTGATAAAACCAGTTAGCAGTGCTTTCTTTCATTGTGATTTATGTTTCATTTATGTCTTAGGTCATCAGTGGGATAGATACGCTATGTCCAAAGAGTAGGAGGAGAAGGTACTATTCACTAGAGTCTGGCTTAGGTTAACTGGAAGGAGAGGCTGGATACTTTCTAGCTTATCCGTGTAACCAAATGCATAAAACCAATATATTCCTGTCCTTAATATCATGTTCCAAGCTAACTGAATTCTACTTCAATGAACATGCATGAGATCCCAACAAAACAGCAACAGGCCAAACATTTAATGTGATGTGCATGGTTCCTACACTAAAAAATTTGTATATACTAACCTAATATATGGGTGTGAATATTTTCGTGACAACCTGCCCTGCCAAGATGTGTAAAGGAGTGGTATTCATTCATTTATTCCATGGACATTTCTCTAGTACTTTCTATGTATCAGGCATGTTGCTAGGTACATGGCCCTGTACTCAGGATGGTGACACTTTTGTGTATATATCTGAATTTCTGTACACTCTGGTGCAAGTATTTGAAATTATATATTATGATTTTCCAAAGAAGGAGGCCCCTGCTTTCCTAGTGGTTTCTCAACTTAAATGATATAGAGACTTGATCAGTAAGGATTTTACCTTCATTTGTAATTAAAGCTCTCTACCAGATGTCAGATAGGACATGCTTTTTTTCTCCTTCCTGAAAAATAAAGTATGAAAAGAGATAAGTTCTTGGAATTATAATTATTTTTCAATTTATTGTTTGCCTTTCTATTGCATTTATAGGTTTGGACACATAAAAGGTTGTTTAATGCTGTCCTATGGAGCACTGATCATTTCATTAGTATTTTATATCTTAAAGTATATATAGTATGTTAAATTTCAATAAATTTAATACATAAATGTATATTAATCAGATCAATCTAAAAAAAGACTTTCTGTGAGCAAGCATTCTGCACTCTCTGAACAGTCAGTGTCATATTAAAAATAAAGGCAAGAAGATAGATCTAGGTCACAGATTAGCAAACTTTTTCTGTAATGGGCTAGGGAGTAAATATTTTAGATTACATGGGCCATACAGTTTCTGTTGTAACTACTCACCTCTGCTAGTATAGCATGAAAGCAATCATATATGTAATGAAAGAGCATGCTGTGTTCCAGCGAAAGTATATTTACAAAGGCAGGTAGTAGGCCAGATTTGGCTCATGGGCCATAGTTTGTTGACTGAGGTTCTAAACTAAAAAAGACCAAAGAGACACAGCAATCAAAAGCAATTTAGGAATCTAGATTGCATATTAGCATTAAAAAAAACAGCTATGAAAGATATTCTTGTGACAACTGAGAGAAATTTGAATACACATTGGATACTAGATATGATGGAATTTAATAATTTTCTTAATTATTTTAATTATCCTTAATTTTCTTAAGGAGGAGTTAAGATTGTCTTACGCAGTTGGTGGACACCAACATTTAGTTTAGTTCTTCCATTTCATAGATGTCCTGGAGGCCAAAAAATAAGCTTTTTTTTTTTTTTTTCTGAAATCATCTCCAAAGAGTGCAAAATTTGCAGAACACAAATTGCTGTAGGTCAATGGTTCTCGACCACAGATTACTGTGCCCCTTGGGGGCATTGGCAATATTAGGAGAAATTCTCGATTGTCATAATTAGGGTGAGGATGCCGCTGGCATCTAATGGGTAGAGGCTAGGGATGTTGCTAAACATCCTATAATCTACAGAACGTCACCTCACAACAAAGCACCCCGTGTTTATCTGGTCCCAAATGTCAGAAACTCTGCTGTGGACTAAGTGAAGAGGTTCTGGAAATGAATGTAAAGATAGACAATATGGATCTGAATCGATAGACAATATGGATCTGAATCCTGGCCCACCATTTGAAGCTGAGTAGCCCTGGGCAAGTTTTTTGGCCTTTTTCACACCATAGTCTGTCTCTCTCTCTCTCTCTCTCTCTTTTATTTATTTATTTTTTTTTAAGATTTATTTATTTGAGACAGACAGAGAGGCAGAGACAGAGACACAGGCAGAGGGAGAAGCAGGCTCCATGCAGGGAGCCTGACGTTGGACTCGATCCCCGGACCCCAGGATCACGCCCTGGGCTGAAGGCAGCGCTAAACCGCTGAGCCATCCCGGCTGCCCTCTTCATCTGTAAAGTGGACATGCAATCCTTTCCTAGGTTACTTTGAAGAGCTGCTAGAAATCCACCTGGAAGACTGAATGGATGTGAAAGCACTTTATATATGCCATAGTGGTGGTGGTATATTCTCCCTGTAAGGCCCAAGGACATGAGGAGTGTGAGGAGGCTTTACCATTTTTATGATGATTTAGGAGTCCAGGACATTAGTTCCTAAAGCAGAAATGTAATATCAAGTTACAGCAGAATAACTTGTAGATTTGTTATTAGTCTGCGGGGACCCCACCTCCAGAGTTTCTAATCCGGTGTTCCAGGGTGGGGCCCCATAATCTGGATTTTTCACCAGTTCCCAGGTGATGTGGGACCTAATTTTGAGAAATACTGGCTTTGAGATCCGCTCTTCTCTTATCATATCAACAGGGGGTAGCAGAGAGCAGCAAAAATACGGTCGGTCACCTGAGAAGCCAGTGGCAATCCTCATCAAACCTCCCTCTAGTCTAATAAATGGCAGGAGAGAGGGCTGAAATCATGAATTATTTAGATTTATATTCTCCATGTGACCTTGGCAACAAGTCGTTTAACTTTTGCTGAATTGCTATCTGTAAAATGGGGAAAACAACCTGAAAGATAGTGGGATGACTTGATTAATGTTTGCTGAGAATTAGAACTCCCAACGAAAATTGAAATGCATAGGTAATAAATTATTCTGGGAATTTCTTATTGCTAGGACTTTTTATAAATGCCTGCACTTTGAGCACTTCCAACTCATTCATAAACATTGGTTGCCACCATTGAATTTCCAATTGTTCGAGTTTAGAGGGCAATACTTTCAATGCATTCATTACATCCTGAACTGATAATAACTCCAGACATAAGTGACAAGCTAAGAGCAGATGAGAAGACTGTCATCCGGAGGATGTAGAAGACCACCTTCTGATGGGGCTCTTGGCCAGGAGGAATTCTTCAAGGTTTTTTACACAGAAGCATCCCAAAGCTGCTGAAATACGTACCCTAAAAGTTCAGAGGTCAGTTCCCCGGAATCACTCTCTTTGCAAACTGATTTTGATCCTTCAGCCATCATTTACTGATATCCAGTATGTCCCAGGCTCTGGTCTGGAGGAGACACTGCTCTGAATAAGAGACAAGGAAAGGACTCTGCTGTCCTGGAGCTTGGGTTCCAGATGTTTACTGAAATGAGTCTAATCTGCAGAGGCTATTTCTCTGCTACTTATAGGTGAACTGCCATTCCTTTTTGAAATTCTGGAATAAAATTTGCTTTGGACAACTTCCATAGGCTTTTCAGAATTTGGGTGTCTTAATGGCATTTTAGAATTTTACCAATTTTAATTCTCTGTATAATTTCCCCACAGGTATCATCATGTCATCTCACTAACCAAAATTGTTAATTCGGTTGTCACTGTTATTTCCATTGTATAGGTTTTAATAATACAAATTAAATATGAGGGCTTGAGTTTGGTAAGTCCTTAATTTTAAGGTGTTTATTAGAATAAATTCCTTTGAGATTAAAAAAAAAGGCTTAACTGCTATTGAGAAGTGGCAGAAGGATTTTGTGGCTGTGAATCTAGTTTTAAGTTTTAGCTTTCAGGATTGCGGTGAGGTAGGTAGGTGGGACTTAAATGGAGACACCCTGAGCTTCAGCCTGGTATTGTCACTCTGCTTGCTACATGTCCTGAGGCCAGTGATTTTCTCTCTGCACCAAAACCATGTTGTCTATAAAAGAGAAGAGAGTGAAACGAAATTGGATGAACTTCAGTCTTTGAGGTTCTAATACTCTACTATGCAGAATGGGGATGATGACATCACCCAGTTTCCTTACGGCGGTGTCAGCAGGATTGCATTCTAAATCAGGATTGTATTCTTTTTTTTTTTTTTCAGGATTGTATTCTAAATCACTATGGTTTATGAGTCAAATCTGGCTCTCTGCCTGTTCTTCTGTGGCCCATAAGTGAAACTTGGTGTTTATATTTGTTATTGTTTGGGAAAGATCAAAAGAGAGTATTATTTTGTACCACATAAGAATTATATGCAGTTCACATTTCTGTGTCTATAAAGTTTTATTGAAACATAGCCACTTTCATTCACTTACAAACTGTCAGCAACTGCTTTTACATAAAAACAACAGAGCTAAGTAGCTGGGACAGAGATCTATGGTCTGCACAGTCTGAAATACTACTACTTGGTCCTTTACAGAACAAAAGTTTGCTGATCTTTGTGCTAAAGCATTGTTCAACTCCATGCTGAACTCAGCTGAAAAACAAGAATTCTTCAGAGAATGTCAATGACACGAAATGTAATTTTCTTAACTGAGGACTTTGAGCTTTTACCCTCAATTTCCTATCACATTATTCTGCAATGACAACAAATGCTGTATTATCAGCCATTCTAAGTGTATGTTGTCTATGCACCACTGTGGGGAAATGTCAAAAGCGATCTTTCTGGAAAAAAAGATCTAATAATCCTCTCAGGAGAAATTTCAAATAAAAGAATCACAACATAAAGAACCAAGTGATGAAGGATTTCATAAATACCCAAAAGCACCAACCACAAAGAAAAAGATTACTCTACTGGATAATGTTCCGATTTTAAAGTTCTGTATGAAAAAGACACCACAAACTTCTTATTTAAAAAACAACACAGAGTTCTCCTATACTGCTGGTCAAAGTGCAAGATGGAAAACAATTCAGCTGTCTGGAAAAACAGTTTGGCAGTTTTTAATGAAGTTAAATATACACATACCATATGACTTGGCCCTCGTACACCTAGGTATTTACCCAAGAGAAATTAAGACCATTCACACAACATGTACTGAAATGTTCATAATAATGTTATCTGCAACAGCCTAAACTTCCATCGACTGGTGAATAGATAAGCAAATGTGTTATGTCCATGCAATGAACACCCTGAGCCAAAGGCAGATGCTCAATCGCCAAGCCACCCAGGCATCCAGAACCACGAATGTTCTTAATGGCATCTAGAATGGTGAAACTTCTCCAGAAGGTTTTCCATTTGCTTTGCTCAGCTCCATCCAAGGAATCACTATCTATGACAGCTGTAGCGTTACAAAAAAAATTTTTTTCAATAGTAATAATTACTCCTTGATCCATAAGCTTAAAAATGGACATTGTGTTAGCAGGCACGAAAATAACATCAGCCTCATTGTACATCTCCATCAGAGCTCTTGGGTGACCAGGTGCATTGTCAATGAGCAGTAATATCTTGAAAGGAATCTTTTAATACAAAAATACTAATCCAAAGAGTACATACACCACAATGTTTATAGCAGCATTATCTACAATAGCCAGATTATGGAAATTGAAAATAGCCCAAGTGTCCATCGATTGATGAATTGATAAAGAAGATGTAGTATGTGTGTATATATATACATGTATAATGGAATGTTGCTCAGCCATAAAAAAGAATGAAATCTTGGCATTTGCAATGAAATGGATGGAGCTGAAGAGTATTATGCTAAGCAAAATAAGTCAGTCAAAGAAAGAAAATACTGTATGATTTCACTCATAGGTGGAATTTAAGAAACAAAATAAATAAGAGGGGGA